TACACACAAATCATAAGGAGAAAAACTGGAACTCCAAGTGAATAAAAAGAAAACAAATGTCATCCAAAGATTTCTAGGGGCTGTGATGAACTCTAAGTGACACTGTCAGAGGGAAGGGGGGTGTGCTCTCAGGTGGTGTCTGAGGAGCTCTTGGCCTATACACACACACGCACACAGAAGGGCGCACAAGCACACTCAGAGGCGCACATGCACACCCCCTACACACAGAACATCTCTGAAAGGAAACGCTTTGGGAAAGAGGGGAGCACAGCAGGGGGAATTGCTGTTCCCCGTCAACTCATCACACGCACAAATTACTTTCCAAAGCAGTTTCATGTTGAAAAGTTAAGAGAAAAGGCCACTTGTTTGAAGTATGGTGGTACACGCCTGTAATCCCGGTGCTCAGGAAGCTGAAGCAGGAGGATCAGCTTCCTGAGGCAGTTCAAGGCCAGCCTGGACACATAGCAAAACTGTCTCAAAAAAAACAAAGAAAAAGCCAGGCGCTGGGGGTTCACGCCTGCAATCCTGGCTACTGAGGAGGCAGAAATCCAGAGGATGGAAGTTCAAAGCCAACCTTGAGTAAATAGTTGGAGAGACGCTTTCTGGAAAATACCTAATATAAAACTGGGCTGGTGGAGTGGTTGAAGTGGTAGAGCACCCATCTACCAAGTGTGAAGCCCAGAGTTCAAATCCCACTGCCACCAAAAAAACGCCAAGTCCCTATAATCCAGGTATAAGACATGCACGTATACACAAGTCACACCCATGGGTTCCTCTTTTTAATCTCTAAAGATGACCGCACACATCTTGCAATCCTGCAACCTACTTTTTTCACTTAGCCCATTGTGACCGTCTTCCAAGGTCAACAAGTATATTTCCTATTTGGGGGGTTTTTGGTGGCTCGGGGGTTTGAACTCAGGGCCTCAAGCTTGCTAGGCAGGTGCTATAACTCTTGAGCCACTCCTCCAGCCATTTCTGATTTGGTTATTTTTGAGATAAGGTTTCTCTTTATGCGCAGACTGGCCTGTACGTCCTAGCATAGTGGGGATGACAGGCACATGACACCACACCCAGCCACTGGTCTCCTCAACTTTCTTCCAGGGCTGGCCTCGAACCTCGATCTTCCCAATCTCTGCCAGCTGGTATTAAAGACAAGAGCCACTAGACCTGTCACTCGCAGTGCAGGGAGGCCCCGCCATCCCGCTTCCCGCCCTGTCCATGTCATCGCCATACCTGAGATGGAACCCAGGAGCACGCTGCTCTTGACGTGTCTGTAGACGTACTCGTAGCTCTGGGCCTTCAGCGGGGAGCCGGTGGACAGGATGGTATGGAGCGTGTGGAGGTTGTGGGTTTCCGCTGGGGTGAACAGTCCAGATTAACACCAAACCCGCCACCACCAACCCCACTGCACAGGGAGCAGCCCATGTGGTGTCACTTCCTAGACAGCTCTGAGGCATGGGACAGGGCCATGGGAGACACCCACCTGGCCTCATTTCTTTCTCTTCAAGCACAGACAGCCACTTGGCCCCTGTCCCGAGGATGGTGATGCTGACAGACAGACAGGAAGGAAACAGCAGGCATCAGCCGCTGTCACTCCACTCCCTCCAGCCAGGGAGTCACTTAACAGGTCTGCCAGCCTTTTCTGGGCTGGACCGACATTTCCCTGCCACCTGAACGTGAGTCTCGGCTCCTGGGAGCCCCCCAAGACCCAAGGGGACAAGTCTGCACCTGGATGCACATGCAGGTGACCAGCTCCCCTTTACCAGGGCTTCACTCAGAATGCCCTGTGCACACAACCCATCACCTCCAGCTGCAGAGCTCTGCTGGGGACCTCGGGGACCACACATTGGGTGCTTCCCAAGGCCGATCATGTCATATGCCAGCTCCTTCCTCATTGTCTTCCAGGGAGGTGGCTATCCCTAAAAACTCCATCTTCCGAACTAAAGAACCCAGGAGGAGCCAGGCACAGGTGGCAAAAAAAAAAAAAAAAAAAGCGACCCAGGACGCTGTGAGCTCAAGAGTCCTCACGTCCCTCTGGAGTAACTCCACCTCCTGCATGCTTGCGTGGAGAGGGTCTGCCATGACGCTGAGTGAGTGCAGAGATGTTACAAGTTCAGGCCTCTGGGCCAGAAGAAGCCAAGTCCACAGCAGTTGGGTCCCCCTCAAAGTGGGAGGTGGGTTCCTGTGGCCTTTGGCACTTTCTGTGCCTTTATTCTCTCTGTCCCTCTGTCTATCTCTCTCTTCTGGTACCAGGGTTTGAACTCGGAGGTCTAATGCTTGCGAGGTAAGCGCTCTACCCAGCCCTTTCTGCTTTAGTTATTTTTCAATTACACATTTATGCTTTTTGTCCAGACTGGCCTGGGACCACCATCCTCCAATCCCTGCCTCTGACACAGCTGAGCTTACACACATGCGCCATTCCGGCAGAGTGGCTCAAGTGGCAGAGCACCTGCCTAACAAGCGTGCACCATTATCTGTGCCAGACTTGTTCAGATGCGGTCGCACTAACTCGCCTTTGGAAATGCTCACTGGTCCTGCCAGCTGAGCAGGATCTGGGTACCTACCCTATCCTGTCCACCAGGTCCCAAAGCACATTGGGTGTCGGGATGAGCGGGGAACCATCGTACAAGACCACAGACGCTCCTGTGGCCAGAGCAGACACCATCCAGTTCCACATCATCCAGCCAACCTGCGACAAACAAGGCACATGGCTTAAACGGGGGGCAGGGTGGGGAGCCACAGGCTGGCTGGACCTGCCCGCTGCAAACTCATCACATAGGAAAGACCCAGCCATTCCTCGTCTACACATCAAGCATCAACTCAACACCAGCTTGGAGACGGGGCAGACATGGTCTACCGCAGCCCTGCTGGTGACCAGAGCCCAAAGTCACACAGGATGCACACACACTACAGGTCACACTCAGCCAGCTGACCACAGGGCACCCAGACTGCATGGTGCCTCAAGAGCATCAGAAGTCAGCCACAATGCAGCCAAGACCGGAGGCCTGGGCTGACATGGGAGCCCCAAGACACACTGTGAATGGCAGAACAAGCCCAGCGGAGCAGCACGGCCCCACGTGTAAAGGAAGGTGCAGACGTGCACGTGCAGCCTGGGGCTGCAAGGCACTGGCTATAAGACACACAGCACAGGAACATCTGATACTGTCGCCCTGACCCTGGAGGACACCAGCCTTCCACCTGCATCCTGCTAGAGCTGCCTGAAACGCCAATCATCCGCAGATAGATTTAAGCATAATTCTTTTATTTAGAAAATGTTTCCAGTCATGCATGATAGTACACTCTTATAATCCCAGCACTCAGGAGGCTGAAGCAGGAGGGTCAGGAATTCCAGGACAACCTGGCTCCATAGCAAGACCCAATTTCAAAATAACAACAAACAGGTGGCTCAACACCTGTAGGTCTAGCTACTTGGGTGGCTGAGATGGGGAGGACTGGGATTCAAGACTAACCCAGACAGAACAATCTGTGAGACCTCATCTCCAAAATAACCAGAGCAATAAAAGAGAAAAAGAAAAGAAACAAAATAACTGGAACAACAGAAAAAAAAAGAAAAGAAGCAAAAAGGGCTGGGGACATGGCTCATGGGGCCTGAGTTCAAACCCCAGTACAGCCAAAAGAAAAAGAAAAAAGAGCCAGGCACCAGAGGCTCACACCTGTAATCCTAGCTACTCAGAAGGCAGAGATCAGGAGGATCCCGATCTGAAGCCAGCCCAGACAAATAGTTCATGAGGCTGTATCTTGAAAACTGCCATCACAAAAAAGGATGGTGGAGTGACTCAAGAAAGAAAAAGATAATGTTTAAAGCCAAAAGGTGCCCACACACCCACTGACCACACCCCCATTTACACAGAGACAATCTGTGGACAGAGCTGGAGCTTTATAGACACGATAGGTGGGACTGGGAGGAAGGTCCCAGCAGGAATCTCAGCCCTAGAGGCCAAAAGGCATGTAGCCACCTCCCCCATGTGAGCCAGGAGGGTGGGGCACTAGCCTGGAAAGACTGAGCAGAAGGTGCTGGGGGCCCCAGGCAGTAGTTAAAATCCAGCGCCCCTTGAAGACCACCCCCCACCTCTCAGACCCTCAAAGGTCCCAGGTTAGCTGAGTTTCATTTTTATCTTTTTTTTTGGCAGTACTGGAGGTTGAACTTAGTGCCTGGTGCTTGCTAGGCAAGAGCTCCACCAACTGAACCACTCCCCCGGCACTTTTGGTTTTTGTTTTTGAGACAGGGTCTTACTAACCTTGCCCAGGCTGGCCTCAGACCCTGATCCTCCAGCCACTGCCTCCGAAGCAGCTGGGATTACAGGTGTGCACCAACACACCTGGCTCAACCAAGTGCTTTGTAAAGAGACTTTAATGTTCTGGCTGAGTTCCTTTTATGGAGGACACTCCTAGACAAGGACACCAGTAGCTGCAGGCCCCAGCAGCACAGTTTCCGGGCATGTCACTGTCCAGCAAAGCCGCAGCACAGGCCTGGCCTGAGATGGAGGGACACTTGCGAAAGCTACACGTGAGGCTGCTGTTGAAACCATGTTGGAAAAGTCTGGCTGCCCCCTGGGTGCAGGGCTTACCGTGGTGTAGTAGAGCAGGATGTCGCTGTGCGTCATGTTGCTGTGCAGCATGTGCTCCTTCAGGTGCTGGATGAGGGTGCCCTGCAGGAGGAAGGGCAGGCACAGTGAGTGCCCAGGCGGAAGTACAGGTCGCCCCAGTCTGCACATGAGCACTCACCACCCGCACTACTGGGCACCATGGGGACCTGCCATCTTCAGTCACCTTACCAAGAGGAGACTTAAAGGTAAAGGGCAAACTGAGTGACATCCTGCAGACCATCACGGGTAAGCAGAGCCCCCCTCCACTCCCCTGCAGCTGTTCAGTGCTCTGCTGCCTGGCACCCAGTTGTCCCAAGCAATTCCATGTGTTTAGCAGGGAAAGAAGGAGGCCTCCTGTCATCGAGGACAGTCCAAAGAGCCCAGCAAGGGACCCTGCCTGTCACCTCGCAGTTGGCCTCAGTTTCCTACCTCTACACTAGGTCCCAAGGAAATCCTGAGGACTGGGAACGCTACCCTGCCATGACCCGGATGGGAGGGTCAGTGTGCAAGCCAGCTCACTGTCTTTGGGACAGGTCCACAGATGTGAGCACTGTGCTCACAGAAAGCCCCCCGTGTGTGGAGCCCCATGTGTTACACACCAGCCTTTACAGCACTCGTCAGACAAGAAAAGAGGACCCTTGAAGACCAACACAGAAACCTCCTTTCCAGGGGAGGCTCAGATCGAGGAGCCGGGCTCCTAGTCCCAGCGTTCCAGACAGCGCTCCCTATCAGGCCCTGGGGCAGTACTGCAGCTGGCCGGTCCTGGACAAGAGCCCACGTGAGAACATGAGGGAACTGTGGGAGGGACAGGCTGTTTCTCCTGTCCCAAGAGCCGTGATGCAGGGTGGGAGGTAAGGAAACCCCTTGTGGGCCAGGGAGGCACAGAGCCCACAGAATGTCCCACGCACACCCTGCTCTCACACAATGAGCGGACAGGTTTGGAAGATGAAGGCCTCAGGAAGTCACTTCATGAACACCAAGTCTTCATAAAGTGACACGCTGAAAGGACAAGCGCTCAGCTTAGACAAAGCCACGCACATCCCTCCAGCCTCTCCCACTGCAATCAGTGTGCAGTGGCTTTTCGTGATCAGGTGTGTGACTTCATCTCTTCATTCTGCTGGAGGCACCATGTCACAACCCATCTTGCTCACACGTCCCTTGTCCTCGTGTCCTCAGACAGCACAGAGCAAACAGCTTTGCTCTGCGCTCAAGAATTTCTCTCTAATCCTAGCAATTCAAAAGAGAATTCTCTTCATTTTTGCTCATTTATGGCCGAATGTGAGTGCTTTCCCCAAGGGCAGGAAGGGAAGGCCACAAGGTTTCATGGGTCTCAAGCCAGAGTCTTTTTAGTTTTGTTTTGTGGGGCTGGGGATGGAACCCAAGATCTTGAGCAAGCCGGGCAAGTGCCCCCCTGCTGAGCTGCATGGCAGCCCTGAGCAGTTCAGGATATAGGAAGGGAAGGGGAAGCTGCTTTCTGGGCCTTCCATGGACTTGGGAAGTATAAGCCTTGCCAGTAGCAGACCACTGGCCCCAGACCGCAGGACACTTGTCACAGCCCAACCACCGTGGCCCTGTTCAGCCCACTGTGTTCACATTTTCTGACAAGGTCACTCTTAGTCAGGCATAGTGGCCCTGCCTGTGATCCCAGACTCGGAAAGCAGAGGCAGGAAGATGGTGAGTTCAAGGCCAGCCTGAGCTATGTAGCAGAGACCTGTCAAAACAATGACAACAAATGCTAACACTGGAAGCCAGGCAAGATGCAGAGTCACATCTCTGGAGAGCCAAGAGCCCGTGGAAATAGAAGGAGAATTTCTCCTTACCTTTCTATACCCTCCATACACCAGGCACATTCATTTTATGAGCATACATTACAGCTAATACATTTTTATGTTCCTCTGCTGAAAAAATGACAGTCACTATGCAAAACACTGAAAATAACAGCCCATTACACATTGTGCCTTTTCTAAAAATATCTGGTTTGGCCACACAAATCCCACCCTGTCTATAAGACTTCTAAAAACACCATTGCCATGACTTGTTCATGGGCCCTGGGCCAGACGTGCCGCTGCCCTCCACAGGGAAGGCCAAGTTCAACAGTGGCCTGCACTGGACCCTGCTAACATGAAGTGATAAAACAGGCTGATGTAAGCCCCAAGGACAATAGCTGTCCACACAAAGGCAGCGTGGCTCAGCCAGCATCACTCCTCCAGCCCAATGTGCCCCGTGCTCCTACCCTGTGGTTTCTGGGCCACCCGTCGTCTGTGGCTCCCTCACTGCCCACACTGGCCTTCAGTGAGTCCGGACCCCGGCAGCCCACGCCCTCCTCCCCATGCACTGAGAACCCATGCTGGGAGAAGCTATGCGGGGGGTGAAAGTGATGCCTGAGTGAAAGGCTAAACTCCATCTCCACAGCCCAGCTCAGCAAGACCAGCCACAGCTGGTTGAGAGCGGGAGGTTTCCCAGCCTGGGTGATGCTCTCTTCTGAGGTGGGAGAAAAGGCGTGGGCACAAGGCTGACCACCGTGCGGGGCACTTGCCTTCCAAGGCCAGGCGTCCAGAGGGAGAAGCTGGGAGATGAGACAAGGACAGCTGAGTGGCTGGCTGGGTGGCAAGCCAGGTAAGCAAGGATGCCAGCCAGAAAAGGTCCAAGTCCATGGTGAAGACTGGGCCTAGTCAGAGGAAGGGAGGGTCTTCAGAGTACAGGGGCACTGAGGGTAGCAGGCATGGGTGACAACAGTTATTGGGAAAGTGCCAACATCACACAGGAGCTGTACTGTGGAAGTGTAACCTGATGACACTGCAGTGACTGGATGCACTGACATGTGTCCCCACCCCTGTCCTGGTGCTCCTGCTAGAACCACCTGATCCATATCTAACCACAAGGAAACATGGCTGGGCTGCACAGAGGAATCTGGCCTCTTCAAGAAGTCACCGTCATACCCAGGCGCCGGTGGCTCTTGCCTGTAATCCTAGCCACTCAGGAGGCAGAGATCAGGAGGATTGTGGTTCAAAGCCAGCCCAAGCAGACAGCTTGTGAGACCTTATCTCAAAAAACCCCAACACAAAAGGGGCTGGTTATGTGGCTCAAGGTGAAGTTCTGAGTTCAAACCCCAGTACCAAAACAAAACAAAAGGACCAAAGAGGGAAGAGGAGGTGTTCAGGTAGAGGACAATGCAGGGGCACGGCAGTGGATGCTATTCAGTCCCGCCCACTCCAAGGGATGCCAGCAGGACACCAGCAGCACCTGTGTGGACCGAGCACGGTGTCAACCTTAGCATTCCTGAACTTGACTTATGTTCCAGCTCCCTGAGGGAACACTGTGGCCGTGAGGAGACACGTGCGGCAGTGTGGGGGTGAAAGCCCACAACGGCTCCAACTTGCCCCAGATACTTCAGCAAAAAGAGAAAAAAAGCAAAAGAGGCTTAAGAAAATGTTAGGACTGGATGCTGAAAATGTGAACGAGAGGATGTGAGCAATGGTTGTGGCTGGCAAAGAGCACCCATCACTGTCTGTGAGAGCATTCATGGGCTTTCCACAGGTTCTTTAAGTATTCTATTTATGTTTTTATTTACTATAGTACTGGGGTTTGAACTCAGGGCCTATACCTTGAGCCACTCCACCGGCCCTTTTTTTTGTGATAGGGTTTTTCAAGATAGGGTCTCACAAAACTATTCACCCAGGCTGGCTTCGAACCTCAATCCTCCTGATCTCTGCCACCTGGGTAGCTAGATTACAGGTGTGGGCCACCAGAGCCCAGCCTGGTATTCTATTTTGAAAAGCAAAAAAAGAAGGTTAGACGTCTCTGAATTTGCATATGGTGGCTAGTGGTTAGTAGGAATGTACTATTTCAGGGAACTTACTGAAGTGGACGTGTGACAAAATAAAAGAGAAGAATGAGAAGCGGGTGTCATGGGCTAAACTGTGTCCTGGAAATTCAGATGCTGAAGCCCCAGCTCAGAACGTGACTGTGTTTGGAGGTCAGGCCTTTACAGACATGAGGTTAAGATGAGGCCTGGGGGTAGGCTCCAATCGGTCTGATGGACACCCTTAGAGGAAGAAATCTGGGCACATCCAGGGAGCTGTGGCAGTGTTTGTCCCCGCTGAGGCTCATGTGCAGATGTAACTCTCATAGACGCATGTTAACAGTATGTGCAGATGAGGCCTGGGGGAGGTGACTGCCATCAGCTGAGGCTGGGAGGGTGACCCCCTGATGGTACTAGTGCCTTTCTAAGAAGAGAGACCTGAGTAAACAGCTTGCTCTGCCTTCCAACGACCCCTGCACCATGCTGGGACTCTGCGGAGGGTCCCCGGCAGCAAGACGGTCCTTGCCTGATGTGCACTCTGACTTTGGACCCCTTGCCCCCAGAGCCACGTCTGTGTGAACCTTTATTTTTCATAAATCACCCCATTGCAGGGCTCCATTACAGCACTGAGACGAGACGAAGACAAAGGGTGCCACACGGAGAAGGTGGCACCTACAAGGCAAGGAGTGAGACATGGGGAGAAACCAGCCCTGACTCTGGACTTCCAGTCTTGTGGACAGAGCGTGGGCTTCCGGTCCAGCACAGCACGCTCGTCAAGCATTCCCTGGTTATGACCTAACCTAGAGCATTTCCAACCCCCAGCCCCAGCCCGTCAGATACAAGTCTCACGATGCCACCCAGGAAGTGTGACGTTTGTAGACACACTGTGCAACTACACAAAGTGATCGCCACACCTCTCACGACCACCCTGTGCCGATGTGCTGACCCCCATTCCGACTCAGTAAATGCCAGGGCCACCCACGGAGCTCACAGTCCACCAGGGGTCACAGCCTGCACTGTGAGCGATGCTGCTTCACCCAATGAGTGCCCACCCCAGCAGAGCACAGCGCTCCACGTGGCTTCCACATGGTGGAGGTGTCACAACAGCCCCTGGAATGGCACTGTCCATCACTGGGCCCAGTTACAGGTGTCCTAGCACCATCCCACTTAGGGAGAAGCAGCACACTGAGGCCCTGGGGAGGGGACAGGGATACCACTGTTGCCAGCTGGGAACCGCATTTGGAGCAAACCTGGGTGGGAGACCTACCCCAGCAGAGTGCACCATGCACTTGGGCGCTCCGGTGGTGCCCGAGGAAAACACGATGAAGAGAGGATGGCTGAAGGGCAGCTGCTCGAACTCCAGCTGGGGCGCCTGCTCGCCGGTCCCACAGGCAAGGAAATCGTCCAGAAACATGCTGTGGGCAGAGACATGGGGAAAAACAGTGAATGTTCCAGACGCTGGGCTACAGCCTCCAATCCCACCGCAGCTAGACTTGGCCCACCCTCCCCTCCACTTCCACCAAGACAAAAGTCTCAACTCTCACAAGTTCAAGCCTATGGAAGGAAAGGAATTAAGTAATTGAGTGAGGATTTCGAGTTGGCTCCTTAGCACCACTGACAGGGCCAGGGGCTGTCTCTTTAGAGGACCTCCCAGCGTTCAAAAGCACTGCGGAGATCAATATGCCCGCTGAGCGCATGCAAACAATGGCAAGCAGCTTTGAACTTGGAGTTGAGTCCTCCAGCACATTTCCTTTGTTTGCTGTTCATCACCTGCTTAGCAACACCTTGCTTCCAATGACAGCCCAGAGGGAGTGAGACCCCTAGAGGGACCCCATGTGGGCCTGGGTTGGCATGAGAGGTGCTGGATTAATGAGCCCCTCCTGCAAATGAGGTTCACCTCCCATCAGGAAGGTTGGGCCGGCTTCCCAAAGCCCCAGTTTCAGTGACAGAAATGCTGCTGAGCAAGTATGTGTTACCACTCATTTACTAGATGCTGAGGCTTACAGCAGTGAGCTTCGACTGTGTCCAAGAATAAATAAAATTAATCCAAGCCACTGACTATCAACCAAGAAGTCTGCCAAGCCTCACCCAGAGCCAACAGAAAGCACCAGATGTGAGTGGTCAAGAACCACCAAGGGACAACGAGCATGTCCCAGAGGGTAACTACTCCATTTGGAGACCAGCAAAAACCGGAGCCCCTAACACTGGCCCTGAACCATTGTGTAACAAATGGAAATTTCTCTCTTCCAAGGAAGGGAAGGGGTGGGAACCCATCAAACCCAGATCGAAGCCACTTGCTAAGGATAATAACACCGAAACACAAATGCACACGCACTAAAACGAAGAACTGCGCCGTCCAGCGTGGGAGGGCATCCCGAGAGAAGGGGATGTGTCCTGGGGACACAGGATGGTTTGAAAAGGGCATCCGAAATCCTTCAACTCTGAGTGGTAAACACAAAGCCGTGTGCTCCGGAGTGTCGGGAAATTATCCACTCGCCCCACCCCGCCTCCGCACAGCCCGTTTACGGGCAGCGCCCAGCAACGGATGCTCCACAAAGAAAAACCTGTGCTTTCCAACGGTCCATACGTCACAGGCCACACGCTCACCTTTGTTTCTCTTCTAGAAATGAAAGCCCGAGGGGGGCTCTCCCTCGTTCTCCGCAGCTGGGCAGCGCAGTTTTGGTTTATCAATGGTATCCAGCAATCCAAAGATGACAGCGCCCAGCCCCTGGAGCTTAACGAGGGGAGTGCTTGCCTAGTATAAAGCTAATATGATTCTGTGACGCCCTCATTTCATATCAGTTACTGATAAACACCTTCAGGAAAAGGAAAGCCCAGCTGGGGACAGAGCCCAGTGCAGCCTCACAGTGACATAAGCTTAGCATCACCTGTTTAACCCACACGCCAGCTGTGAGGAAGGCGCCAGGCCCCGTGGTGTGCATGCAGAAGCCAAGGCACAGAGAGGCTGATCGCCTGCACTGGGTCACCCAGCTGAGACCCGAACCCAAGAGGGCTGCCCTAGAGACGGTGTTCCTTGCCAAAACCTTCTGGGTGCCTCTGGAACGCTGGCACAAGCAGGGCACACCTCCAGGCCAGGCAGACACCTCCTCCCCAGCTCCTGCACAAAAGCAGCCATGGCCCCATGCTTAACCCCTGGGCACTTCCGCTCTTCCCATTCAGTGGGCATGCTGTGTCCCCTGGGCCTAGAGGTCACCGCACACCCCTGCTGCAAGTGTGTCTCAGCTCCCTAGAGTAGACTGAGAGCCCTGGAGGGTAAGACATGTGCTTCGTGCCCCAGACAGTACCCCATGCAAACCCAGGGAACTGGTGTCACCTACTGTCAACCCGACTAAAGGCCTGGCCATCCCCTCTTCTCCTCCCTGTGGTGGGCAAGAGGACCCCTGCCGTGTCTGCCCAACCCCTCCAAAAGACGTCATGGAGGCCCTCGCTGGAGATTAACAGAAAAGGTCCCTGCGAGGAAGACACCTGACCTCAGAGTCTCTCCCCACACTGCCTCCAGAAAGACTGAAGGAGTAGAACTCTGGGAACAGGACAAATTCAGCTTGGACTGAACCACTGAGAAACCACCATGACACGAGGTTTATCAGCTTTTCAACTCAGAAAAGCAAAGGAAGCTGCCATGAGCAATGGGGGACAAACACGGTCTAAATGGAAAAGTACATAAGGGCCGTCCCTCGGTGTCCTGGGACACTCAGATCGGCAGGACCTTACGTAAACCTGCCGCATTTGCACAGAGCCCCGCCCCCATGCTGAAAGTCCTCGCTATAACACGTAGCCTCCCCCGCAATGCAGACGCTATGAAAACAGTTGCCACGTGGAGAAAAGAGTCTACGTGCTCAGGACAGACACAATTTTCCCCCAATATTTTCCATGTGCAGTTGATTGAATCCATGGGAGCAGAACACACAGATTCAGGATGGACCATATCCACATGTACATATGCATGAGTACATGTGTGTCTGAGTGTGCTGTGTGCATGCATGTGTCTGAGTGTTGTGTGGGCATGCACACGAGTGCATGCTTACAGACCCCGATGCACACACACACGTGGTCAAGCATTGTGTGTGCAGGTGCACACGTGCATGCATGCTTACAGGCACCCATGTACATGTGCATGTGTACCTACATGTGCACTGCCTTGCATGCTGTGCACACGTGTGCACATTCACACACACACAGGGATGTGCACAACAGTCCCAATGCAGAACTGCTATGGCCAACCCAGGGAGCCAGAATGACCCCATGCAAGTCCTCCACATCCAAGGGACACAGGCAGGAGAAATGAGAGTTCCTCTGACCTTCTCTGTTCTGCCACTCATTTGCTGTGTGGCCTTGGGAGATTCACTGAGGGGCCTCAAGTGACCCATCCACAAGATAAAGATTTTACCAGAACCTCCTCCACCTCTAAAATGCGATGACTGAGCCCAAATGGAAAGACGCACACGGGGCTCCTTCCCAGTAGACGGAGAGCAGGTCCCACAGGGGCTGGGTGCCCAAGACCACAGAAGAGAAGAAACAGTGGTGGCTCCTCACCTATTTGGAATCTTGGAAATGTCTATCTTCTCTCTGGAGGTGACATAAGGGATCACCACCACTCTCTTCAGGTCTGGCAGGCCTGAAAGGCGGAGGGGAAGAGACACGGTTACAGGTCACAGGTATCTTTGCATGAACTGTAACTCCATCTGGGGCGCAACTACCCCCGGTGTGTAGCCCACGGGACTGCACACACACACGTGCACACTCACACACGTGCACACGGCCTAGCACAGAAAGCACTGCTCACCTTTCACCACCTGCTGCAGCTTTCCCAGGTGGCCATGCTCCTTGCCATTGTAGATCACGGCCTCCACCGAGAAGATGAGCTTTGGCTGGATTTGGGAAAACCGGTCCAGGACACCCTGAAAGTGAGGGACAAGTCATCAGAGATCACCCCAAAGGAGAATCCCTTATCAGCCAGTGGAGCCTCTGACCCCAGCATCTGCAGCCAATACAAAAAGCCGATTAAGAACTGGTAGAGTGGCTCAAGAGTTAAGAGTGTCTGCTTAGCAAGTATGACGCCCTGAGTTCAAATCCCAGTGCTGCCAAAAAAAAAAAAATTGTCAAAACAAGCCAATTGAAACACGACTAAGAGGTGATCAGGCCTCAACATCACGGAAACCAGAAGGGTCCGCAGATGCTCTGACAGACCAACTCACAGACGCCTGACCCCACAGTGCCTCTGGAGGGGCCCCCTGCCCCAGCAACTGTAGCAATGCCATGGGGCCCCTGTTCTGGGTCTGGTCCAAACTTTATCTGGGGGCGGAGAGGCACCGGAATTCTTGGACAGTACCTGCTTACCAACAAACCTGTGAACCTACAAATATGCACGTGCAGTTAACTAGCCCCAATTGGAGGCTCAGGTCACCACCCACACGTGTCACTCTGCACCTGGAATCTCTGCTCCCCCCGTAAGAGCATTCTTGTTTCCAGAATGACGTAAACTGACGAGGGCAGCCTTGGAGTCCCCTGATGCTCCAAAGGGTTGTCCCAAGGGGACCGGATCAAAGCCCTTGAGGCCCTCCTCAGACGCCACATTTCCACAGGAGGTCACACTGGAGGTGTGTCCACCCGGGGAAGCCGTCACCCCACACTCCCCACCAACTGTGCAGCGGGTCGCGCAAGCAGCAGGACCAGCTCTGGGGCACCCACACACACAGGTGACAGAAGGTTTCTCAGAACAGGGGCCTCCACCCGGCTGCAGGCCCACACCTGCAGTGGGACTGTTAAGTTAATTAAGCTCACAAAAAGAACTGATGAACAGTCTGCAGCAGGCTCCCCAAGTGACTGTCATCCAGTAGAGAGGCACTGACTCAGCAGGAACCCAGAAAGGGGACAGCTCAGATGGCCCCTTGCCACCAGCTGCGTCTACACAGCAGGTGGGGCCCCACAATCTGTCTCCCCGGCCTCCAGGGGGCTGGCTCACCATGACATGCGAGAATCTTTGCACTAAAGACTCAGGATGGAGAGTTTGTCAAGGCTCAGTAAGGGGCAGAAGAGGGTGGAAAGCACATGTCTGTCCTGCCCACAAGTGCCAGACACCTGCCAGGGAGCCAGACAGTTTCTACGCCAGATCAGGTGACAATCAGAAAAATGACATTCAATGAACCATGTTCCTGGTGCAGGCAGCCAGGGAGAAGGAGGAAGAAGCCAGGTGGTGGTGCATGCCTGTAATCCAGCACTCAGCAGACTGAAGCAGTAGGATCGCAAGTTCCAGGCCAGTCTGAGCTGCAGAGCAAGACTCCATCTCAAAAAGACGGGGGGAAAAAAGAAAAAGAAAAAAGAAAGAAAGAAAAAGGAAGGAATTAAAACCATAAAGAATAATTAATGCCAGACTTCATCAGTGAAGGCGATCTTCTTCCAAAAGACCAATAGAATAAACGCCTTGACGAGTCTGGTCAAGAGGACAGACGAGACTAGGGCTGACACTTCCATAGCTGGTCCTTGGCACGTTCCTAACATCCATGCACGATGCACAGAGTGACCTTAGACAGAGGCCCTGTCACAGGTGAAGAAACCAAGGCACACGATCAGCCAAATTAGAAATCACAATCCCCCATAGAAACAAAGCTAACGAGTGACAACCAGCCTTACACTCACACCTGGGTCTGGAAAGGAGTGAGGAGGACAGAAGTGCTCTCAGTAACTAGAAGTCACATGCCTGACAGCAGCAAGTGAGGAGGAGGACCCAAAGCCAAGCCACTCTGCTCTCCAGAACTTTCCACATGCCTTGAACACACAGACTGAAGGAAACAGTGATGTTATTATAGGAAAACCCTAGAAGCCCCTGTCTCTTTTGGTTTGTACTTTTGTTTTTTTGTTCGTGGGTTTTTGTTTGTTTTACATAAAACACTGATCAGTTTACCAGCTTTATTCAAAAGTGTGGCTATGCAGTGGACAGGACTTGGAATCCAGCCTCAGGACACCAGTTCCTTGGTCCCATAGGCCTCCATTCCCCAGCAGCAGCCCTGTGAGGCACCTGTGAGGTCCCTGTCCCACTGGGACTGAGGCCACCCGCGCTCCGTCCCAAACCACCAAAGCAAGCGAGAACAACCAGCTGCAGGACACCTCTGCTGACCAGAGCATCAGGGACGAGCAGGTTCCACTGGGAGGGTGGGGGAGGAGAGGCTGTTTCAACCAGGGGACACCACAAGCCGGGCAAAGGGGCAGGGGAAGGATGGCCCAGACACAGGAAACATCAGATCTACCAGAAAATCCAATGCCAAATAGGACACCTCTACGCAAAGTCCAGCATCCCCAAGAACCATCCCACGAGGAGGGCCTGATGGCCAGAGGTCACAGTGAGCAGACTACAGAGGTGACAAGTGTTATAGAATCAGAGGTCCCAGCCCTGGCACCATGGAAAGACTCTATAATCCCAGGGTACAACTGAAGTTTTGCCAGCTGGATGGGCAGGGCGAAGATCTGAGCATTGGAAAGGAACAAGCAACCTGTTCTGTCCATGATGGTCACTGAGAACTGCCTTCATGTAGCCAGGAAAACAGCACAACTGTGACTGTGGGGCTGACCTGAATACAGCACTCAGCAACAAGCAAGGGCAGAAACGGACAGCCGGCGTGAGTCACACGGACTGCCGCCCAGGCGGAGCAGGAAGAGCAGCTGTGCTGTTGACTTGCAAACCACAGCCTCCTGAGATGCTTCACAAAGGTGAGGGCTGCAGACTACAAGCTCCATGTGTGGATGTCACAGGGTGGTCCCCGAACACCTTTGAAAATGCCACCAGCTCAGAGGCGACCCCAGAGAGGCTGAAATGCACTGGACCAGGAAGTCTCAGTGAGGCTGAAAGAGCGTGGGGGCCTCAAAAGCTGAGCCTCCCATAGGGCACGGCACTCTTAGCTCAGATGTGTCGGTCACACAGGACGGAAGCCTGGGCAGCCAGCAGAGCAGAGCGGGGAGGAGGCAGTGATGGGAACAGCATGGACAGGGCAGAGCAGAAGGGAAGCACAGACCACATCATCACAGACAGCAGCCCCAGCCCTCCCTAGAGGCCCACAGAGAGGCCCCTCAGTCACCAGCCTAGCCAGTGGAAGAGCAGGTGAGAACACCTGCATGGAAGCCCCTCCCCTATGGGTCAAATGCCTGCTAAGAAGACACACCACACGTGCCACAGGCCCAGCACTCACATTCAGAGGACCTGTGGGAGAGTGGTGAGTGGCCCTGTGTAACAGACTCTGGGGGACTGCCAACAGAAACACGATTTAAAGTAGGAGGACATTCACGGTTCACTGCAGGTGTCAGAAAAGCACCCAGGACTGAGAAAGGCACCTAGCTGCAGCTTCAGATGAGATGCAATTTCAGGCAACTGCAGAGAGGACCACGAGATCACAGACATCAGTCTCTGCTCCATTCCGGGTCCCCTGTCGTCTACTCCAGAAACTCCTTCCTGTTGTTTTTCACAAGGAAGAGAAATGGTGGACAGTCTGACCAGCAGCATGGGCAGCTCTGGCGCCATGGATCTGTCCCAGGCCACAGCTCACAGGCCCAGGACTGTGAATGAGCAAGCGCTGTGCCTCCCAGTGGACGCAGGACCCTAGGCCATGTGCAAGCAGGCAGAAGTGCTGCCTGCTGATGCCCCCCCCCACCGCCATGTTGTGCAGGTACGGGTGCTGAGGAAGTCCTGCCAGGTGGCCTGTGGTCATTTCCATGTTAGTAACACAGGATCGCTCACGTGCCACCTGTCTCCAGCGGGAGGGAGAGAGGACTCCGCACCGCAGAGACCAGAAGCAGGCAGAGCAAAGCATCCTAGCAGGAAGGCCTTCAGCCTTCTGACCATGGCATCTGAGAAAATTCTCTTCCCCAAACTGCTGAAGATGCCAGGAGAGCAGAGCCCTGCTGCCACCTAGTGGCCACGGCAGTGAGCCAGCATTGAGTGTCGCATGCATAAGTTGTGATTCCAGAAACCCTGGACCAGCAGAGGTCAGAGAAGGGACAGCCCAGAGAGAAGTCACCACAGAGCCACTTGCTGGGTCGCAGGCCTCCCAAGATGGGCAGGACCAGCTGGCGTGGAGTCGCCAGAGGCCTCTTAGGTGACATTTACACAGGATGACACCCAGCAGCTAGGGGACAGCCATGAGGACAGGCGTGGGGCCAGTACAGCTGCTGGGGGACAATGACCCTCCTTCACTCTTGCCTCCAGCCCAGCTTCTGAGCCCACTGAAGGCCAAGTCTGAGGCTCTGTGTCAGGCCCCAGTGAAGCCACACACAGATCTCCAACCCACAGAGATAGAAGGATGTAAGGCACTTCAACCACACGCACCCCACTCCAGCAGGAACTCCCATGTACTGATCCAGGACAGGCATGGCCAAGCCCACAACAGACTGTGTCCTTGCGGCCACAGGGTCACTGTTAGCACCCCTTTCCCTTCTGAGGACAGGAGTTCTGGAGCCACTTGTCCTCTGTCCCCTCCCCTCGTTCCATATGGTGACATGCTGAGGAATCCCAAAACAGCAGTGCCCAGGGCCTCCTTGCTGGACCCTCCTACACTACAGGGGAGGCCACATGGGGTTTCAGTCTCAGGCCAGTCCTTGCTGGCCCTGGACAGTCCTGAGATGTGGCAAAGTAGGAAAGAGAAAAGATGCTCCAGGGGGTACACATGACCATCTAGCCACTGTGGAGGGGGCCCTGGATGGCTGGGAAGGGCCCTGGACAGCCCCCACCTCTCCAGGCCTGTCTGGCTCCTCCTTCTTATGCTGTGGGGAACAAAGTGACGTCTCAAAAACCTTTACCAAAAGAGCAAGGCTGGAAGCGGACAGGACCTGCTAGAGTCATGGCGGGAGAGCTGGCTGAGGAGCACCCAGCTCTAACGGTCCAGCACCACCGGCAGCCACGCTGTGGAGCCTT